CGGTGGGAAACCGGCTACTAACCGCCTGAGCTATGGCACGGCACTTAGCGATGTCATACAGTCCTTTACGACTTTACCAACGTCCTGGAGCAACATACTGTCTCCATCTTCTTCCATGACAAAGAATGCAGTATGTCTCTCCGAAACGTCGGTAACGATCTACCAGGCTACAAGGTGCCGCAGACAGAAGGACAACAATTTTCAAAATTAAGGGTATTTAAAANTCGGAGAAAACCTGCCACAGTGCCACTTTGTCCACAACAAATCCCACATGACCTGACCTGGGTTCGAACCCGGACCGCCGCGGTGGGAAACCGGCTACTAACCGCCTGAGCTATGGCACGGCACTTAGCGATGTCATACAGTCCTTTACGACTTTACCAACGTCCTGGAGCAACATACTGTCTCCATCTTCGTCCATGACAAAGAATGCAGCATGTCTCTCCGAAACGTCGGTATCGATCTACCAGGCTACAAGGTGCCGCATACAGAAGGACAACAATTTTCAAAATTAAGGGTATTTGAAAGGGGGCAACCGGTAGCGTAGTTAGTTGAGGCACTATGCTACAAGCCGGAAGGTCGCGGGTTCAATTCCCGACGAGTTCATTTTAGTTTTCAATTGACTTAATCCTTTCAGCCGCACTATGGCCCTGGGGTAAATACAAGATTCGTAAAGGGCTTTTCTCCAGTAACGTAAAGCGAAGAAGTCGCTTTGAAAAACCCGGGTGTTCATAGGAGGATAATATTAAAATGAATCTTAAGGAAAATGGATGTGAAGGTCTGTACAGACTGTCAGAATACGGACGAGTGGCGGGATTTTTGTGGACACGGTATTGAAACTGGGGGTTTCATGAAAGAGAGGGACTTTTGACTAGCTGAGAAACTGGTAGCTTCGAAAGGACCCTGCTCCGTATACTTAGCCAGTTAAGGAGAACATGTAACTCAAATAAAACGAGCAAAATAAATTTACAAAATAATTTAAAATGTATGTGTTTTAATCATCATTTAAAAGCAACGAATTGCGTGCTTGGGAAGACTAAATTAACATAAATATAAAGTGTTACGTCGCCTCTAAACTCAATACTAAACTTCAAACTTAATTTATGCCTTAAAAATTTCGGGGCGGCTAGAAGTGATAACATAATCTAGAGCAACAAGGTTCCTCCATTCGGCGCGGAACCCCAAGTCTGTTCCGAACTGACGCCGCTAGTAAAAGATGCAGCGTTCTGAGGAACGGCAGTATCCTTCTACCAGACTAGATGGCGTCACGGTACAGAACAAAACAAAAAAACGAACTCCGTGGCTTCAGTCCGCAAGCGAACTATACCGACCGAGCGACCACCGCTTGTCGGCGAAGTTAGTGCCAACATTAGCGGATAGAGGGTGTCGCGTGGTCAGCGCAACGGATCCCCACAAGCCGTCAATTTCAGTTTTCTAGACCGGATCCGTTGTTTCCTTGAAATAGCTCTTAATTATTATTTCTTTTTAATGCTAGTGGGGTGGGACTAAGTCCATTGTACTGCGGCCACTTCTGGCCTATTGTACCAGCCCCAGATGATAGGTGAGGGTGATTGTGGAGCAATTGGTGGAATGAAGATTGGCAGGGGAAACCGAAGTACTCGGAGAAAACCTGCCCCAGTGCCACTTCGTCCACCACAAATCCCTCTTGACCAGACCCAGGATCGAACCCGGGCCGCCGTGGTGTGAAGCCAGCGACTAACCGTTTGAGTTTTTGCGGGGCCTATAGACCTTAATTATCCTCACGAGGCTGAGTGGACCCCGTTCCAGACCCACTACTTCTCAGAAAATCTGGTAGGGCCGGGAATCGAACCCGGGACTTCTGGATCTGTAGCCAGGAACTCAAACCTCACACAAAACACTAGTCTCAACAACCTATGTGTATATTCCAGCAGAGGTTCCATATATTTTACAGTCTGAAATTCTACATCACTGCATTGCTTACTCCTGCATGCCCACGACACCATTACCATCAAACAATGATGCACGCGGTAGCGTAATTGGTTAAGGCACTATGCTACAAGCCGAAAGATCGCGGGTTCGATTCCCTATGAGGTCGCTGGATTTTTCAATTGACCTAATCGTTCCAACCGCGCTATGCCCCTGGGGTCGACTCATCTTCTAACAGAAATGAGTACCAGGAATCTTCCTGGGGGTAAAGGGCGGCCGGTGCATAAGCCTGACAACCTCACTGCCATCTGTGAGCTGACTATCTAAGATATGTGGGAGCCTCGACGTCTCACAACCCTATGGGCCTCTACAGTCTATTACAGGGATAGCTTTACCTATATCATCCAAAGATTACATCGTCTATATAGGATACTAAGCGGAGACTGGATACTTCAGTCTGTATATAGGCTAAGAGCATGGGAGGACGACCAAGGAATCGGTGTTCGATCTCTTGCAGGGGCAAGGTAATTTTATCTTTTTGAAATGTCCAAATTGACACTAGAGACCATCCAGACTCTTATTCAATGGGAACTTGGGGAGGATTTTCCCCTGAGGTAAAGCGGCCGGGGCGTGAAGGTAACCACTCACTTGCACCTAGTGTCTAGGATAAGAATGCAAGAAGTCAAACTCCACTCCCTAGGCGGTTTCATTTCATGGCGCTGAATTAAGCACTTTGAGAACTTCAGCACATTACATAATTAAGCACGTGCAGCTTTTTTCCCCACACAAATATCAAAACTCGTTTCTTTTCAGATTCGTCGCCTACTTCCAAGATTTTTTTTTTCCTTGGCACTACAGCCCCAGTGCGCCTAGGCCTACCTCCATGAACTTCTCCGTTCACCGGTTTTTCTAGATCTTACACGTTTGGTAGGACTCCTTGGGCGGGTGCTCAGCTCGTAGCAAGGCCTCTACCTGTACACAAACACAGAAAAACGCACACAAACATCCATGCCCTCAGTGGGATTCGAACCCACGATCCCGGCTTGCGAGCGAGCGAAGACAGACTTCCAAGAATACTGAATTCTATTCTGAAGGATTTTCGTTTTCCTCTATCGCAAGCGTCAATGATCTGGTCAAGGAGGATGAGGCTGGCAGGGCATGTAGCACGAATTGTGGAGAAGAGGAATGCATATAGGATGTTTATGGGAAAGCCAGAATGAAAGAGATCACTGGGGAAAGCAAGACGTAGGTGGGCCGACAATATTAAAATTGATCTTAGGGCGATAGGGTGGGATGGTATAGATTTGACTGATCTGGCTCAGGAAAGGGACCAGTGGAGGGCTCCTGTGAACATGGTAATGAATCTTCGGGTTCCATAAAATTCTGGGAAGTTCTTGAGTAGCTGCAGAATTGGCGTCTCCTCAAGAAGGACTCAGCTCCATGAGTAAGTAAGTTATCGCAAGGGTCATGATCGCCCAAAGGGCCCACTAATACTGCTATATAAAGGGTACCAAGGTCTGTTTCCAGCGGTAAAGCAGTCGGGGGGAGGGAGTGAATCTAACAAGTCACTTCCATCTAGTGCTGTTACATTCTCTCTCCCGTACACAATCATGGTGACGTTTAATTAAAAGGGAATTTTAATTTTATCAGTTTTAGGAGGGTATTTTACGAAGTTGTTAGTCGTTACAATATATAACGTAAAATAAAAAACAAACAAACTCCGTGGTTTTAGTCGGCAAGCGAACTATACCGACCGAGCGATCGCCGCTTGTCGGCAAAGTTAGTGCCAACTTTAGAGGATAGAGGGTGTCACGTGGTCAGCGCAACGAATCTCCACGGAAGTTAATTTCGGTTTCCTAGACCGTAGAATGGTAGGATGAATGATGAATCGGAAAGGATAGGGAAGGAAACGGTTGTGGTCCCAGTAAAATACTATCGCATCATTTACCTTGAGGAACTGACGAACCTCACGATTAAAACTCGGTCGGCATAGCCCATGTCCGGCAGAAATTCGTACCCAGTACCTCTCGAATATAAGTCTAGAACTTCGATAATTTTATGTAATTTAGATGTGTTTCCGAACAGCCGGGATAGCTCGGTCGGTATAGCGACAGGCTACGGACTAGACGGCTGGGGTTCGATTCACAACAGCGGCAAGGCTTTCTGTTTCCCTCGACACCGGCTTTGTGGCCCACCCAACCTCATAAGCTTACTTTTAATTTTTTCAAAATAAGGAAAGTGAGTTTGATTTGTTTCATACTGGTCCGTCACACTAACAATTACAAAGACAAAAAGACAGTGAAAACAACACAGCAAGCCACGAACAAACACGGACGATACTAAGAATCTCCTCAAGATAGACAGGCGGCACAAGATCAGCCACCTCCAAGAAAGACGATAGGAGAAGTGACACGTACCTGCATGGTTTATAAATTTTAACTTAAACAACGAAGTTTTAAAACCAGGAAGGCTGCTGTGATTGTGAAAAGTTGAATACTGTGTACATTGTGTATTCCAGGCATTATGTGTGTATGTAATTTGGCACTCAGAACGCCTATTGTGATAGTAGTTTCCAAATAAGTATTGATGTCCCCTCTGAAGATGATCCGTAAGGATCGAAACATGTAAGGGTGCTGAGTTTTCAAGTGGTAAAACTTAAATAGTCACACTGGAAGGAGTTTTTTTGTCTTTGTAAGGAAAATAAGCTTAAAAAAGTTCCTTCTCAAAGCGTGCACGTTATGTAGTTTACAGAAAGGACCCACAGATGGCATAATCTGTCATACATAGGAATTTCTGTAAAGGGTGAAATTTTCGACACGTGATATCTGAGGGTTAAGTAGCTATTAGCTTTCCAAGAGGGACTCTGCTCCATGAAGTTAGTTATTTGATGGAGCCACATAATAGCTACCTTTAAACTTGAACGGTCTTCCTACCATTTCCTCTGTTACGTGCTTAGCAACACGTTCTTACAGTAATGCATAACGTTCTCGAAACTTTCTACAGAGGCTTCCAGCCAGTCAGCCAGGCGGGCAATCACGGGAACAGCGCAGCAAGACCAGCTGACAAGCGGAATACCGCGTCGTACCTAACGGGACTTCGCCAGTCTCCTATTACGTCATCACAATCTACACCTGAGGCATCTGTGTCACACATCACCGTCAGCCATTTTATGACAACACTGACGCAACAGATCCTAAAAAAATAAAGTCTCTGGGCCGCAGTTTTAATTCTGAAAGATGCAAAAACAAAGGAACACGATAATAATGGGATCATGTTTCGTGATGGGATTGCTTCTTGTGTGTATTGTGGTATCAGTGACAGCTGAGGAGAGTGCAGACCAAGGCAGTAGTACCACTACAACAGTACCACAAATTAAACTAGAAGAGGCAGAGGCAAATTCTAGTATAAAGGCTGTGGACATAACAGCATTTGTGACATCACGCAATGGAACATCTGAAGAAAGAGGTGTTAGAAAGGGGAAGGATCTCCTTGATTGGATAGGCTTTGGTACCGGAAGTGATACAGATCCATATCTGGCAAGGACAAATGCTGCTTGTCTTAACGGAGACCTGTCGGAGTGTTTCAAATCCAGGGCTCTAACATCCTTGGACGAGTTCTTCGGTAAGGATACATACACACTGACAGACAACGCCAAAGTGGTTCGAATGCCGGTCTCTCAGTTGAGGCAGCTCCATCAAGAAGCGTTCGAGTTTTCGTCTACTCCTCGGGCTGAGGAGCCAGAGTGGGACCAGTTCGTGAAGTTCCTTCTGCGGAAGGTGGAGAGGTTTCTCAAGTCCACGGCGATAGAAGTGCAATTCCCAAATGAGGTCACAGAAGGAGGAAGGTACGCGCCACGGTTCATCGATGAAATTGCAACTGAAATCGATATAATAGAGGACAAGAATGAAAGCAGCTTCTGTAAGTACTCTATTGTCAATTGTTTTACATAACTAACTTCACGGTGCACGTCTTATTACTCAAATATTTTGGAAATTCCACAGTTTTACTTCACCCAAAATTTTAGTAGCATGTTACTGGATTGTGACCGCCTGTGTGGTCTAGTGCTCCGAGTTCATGGCTACAGATCCAGAGGTCCCGGGTTCGATTCCCGGCGCTACCAAATTTCCTGAGAAGTAGTGGATCTGGTCCACTCAGACCCGTGAGGATAATTGAGGGGCTATTTCAAGGAAATAGCGGCTCCGGTCTAGAAAACCGAGATTAACGGCCGTGGGGATCCGTTTCGCTGACCACGCGACACACTCTATTCGCTAAAGTTGACAATAACTTCGCCGACAAGCGGCGGTCGCTCGGTTGGTATAGTTCGCTTGCGGACTACAGGTAACGGAGTTTTTTGCTTTTGTGTATGTTATTGGATTGTATCCAAAGAAATCAGAGTTTGTTCCACATCCTCGCACCCAACTCACTAGAGGTCATCTACTCATTCAAACGTGACCAACTAACTAAATAAGGCCGCACCATAGCTCAAGCGGTTAGTCGTTGGCTTCCCACTGAAGCGGCCCGGGTTCGATCCCGGGTCTGGTCAAGTGGGATTTGTGATGGACAAAGTGGGGGTAGGGCGGGTTTTCTCCGAGTACTTCGGTTTCCCCTGCCAATCTTCATTCCACCAAATTCTCCATCATCATAATCACCCGAGGCAGGTTACAATAGGCCAATCGGTGGCCGCCGTGCCGAGTGGACCCACTTGGACTCCACCCCCCACTAACCGAATTAAAAAAAGAAAACCAATCAACGTACTCCACGGAGTCGAGTCTTCCTTGAGAGGCCGCCAGTCACTCAGCTACTCAAAAACTTCCGAGTAATTTACGGAACCCGCAAGGTTCATCGCAGTATTAATAAGGGTCTGCCATTTGTCTCTTCTGCCAGATGAATCCAGTCCGTATCACCCCATCCTATTTCTCTACGGAAAGTAAAGTAAAGCTATCCCTGTAACAGGCCGTGGAGGCCCATAGGGTTGTGAGACGTTGAGGCTCCTACATTTTCTAGACAATCGGCTGACAGATGGCAGTGAGATTGTCAGCCTTACGAGTCGGCCGCTCTTTACCTCTCAGGAAGGTTCGTGGTACTCATTTCTGTTAGAGGCTGAATCGACACCAGGGCCATAGTGCGGCTGGAAGGATTAGATAAATTGAAAAAATCCACCTCATCGGAACTCGAACCCGCAGCCTTCCGGCTTTTACCATAGTGCCTCAACCAACTATGCTACCGCGTGCCCCCCTTTCTCTACGACCCATATTAATATTAACCTCCCATCTACGTCTAAGCTTTGCTAGTTGACTTTTCCCTTCTGGTCTTCCCACAAGAACCCTATACACATTCTCCTTCTCTCCCATGCGTGCTACATGCCATGCCAATTTTATTCCCCTTGACTTGATCATTGAATTATACTTGTCGAAGAGTACTGTTAATTCTGCAGTTATCAACAGCCTCTTATTATGTCCTCACATTTCGGTCCAAATATTTTCCTCAGTACCCTGTTTTCAAACACCCTTCGCCTATGTTCTCCCATTAATGTCAGAGACCATGTTTCACATCCATACAAAAGCACAGGCAAAATTTAGTTTTGCATATATTTGCGATTTTAGACAGCAGACTCTGAACCAAGCGTTAACAGGATTTAATCTGCTCTTAATTTCCTCCTGAATCAAATTTTGATTACTATTGTCACCCCCAAATATACCTGATTACTTATTCGTAGTAACTATCGTATACTAAATACTTTCAATACAAATTCTTCTCCAAATAAAAACATTTCCCGATTTCCTTGACGCCACATAACTAATTATGTTTAATAAATTAATTTTGTATAAGTTCATGTTTTAATTGAGAAGCGTTTATGAATGCTTAGCAACTAGCTCAGTAATTAGTTAAGTAAAAAACCGGTTACTTAGATGTGTGTACCTGTTCTTTCACCTATAAAAATTGACTTAAAAATGAATCACACTTCTTTACTGCGATGCGACTCACACTCAGCATGAATGCCAGTGCTTTACTCGTGTCCTACAATCACGGCTGTATTGAGGACACGTTCCACAGCACGAAAGAGTTAGGCAGAGAGGACGAGTATTCTAGTTTTGTTCACAGTCAAGTTCACTGAAGTGATAATGGAAGCTCAATGAAAACCTAACGAACTGACGCAGCTTCAGAAATGAGGTTAAGCCTGCAACGTTAGTAACTGGAGTAGACCGTAATTAATTCGCATGGGGGGGGGGAGTCCAGCTGAGTCCACTGGGCACGTCGGCCACTCATTGGCCTATTGTACCTGCCCCCGGGTGATTATGATGATGGAGAATTTAGCGGAATGAAGATTGGCAGGGGAAACCGAAGTACTCGGAGAAAACCTGCCCCAGCGCCATTCTGTCCATCACAAATCCCACTTGACCAGACCCGAAATCAAACCCGGGCCGCCGCGGTGGGAAGCCAGCGACTAACCGCCTGAGCTATGGAGCGGCCGGAGTAGACCGTAAATGAATAACCAAAGGACACAATGTCGAAAATAGAGCATAAAATGGCAAAATTTTTGGAGGGGGGATTTCTGGGAGAGAATTAATCGAATATTTTTCTTGATACGACACGGACCGCATAGAGAAAGATAAGCCAAGCAGTTCTTCTATTATTCTAAAGGGTTCTGACGATGGTGGATGACACACAGAGTTACAGAATTCTTCTATTGTTGCTTGTGAATTCCTTGCCGCGGTAACGTTCTTAAAAAGCAGTTGCCTAGTAAAAATAGGGGGACACACATACAGACACACAGAATGATGGGAGGGATTTATGAAATATGCTGTTGAAACGGGCTCAGGAGTCATGATATACATACCAAATTTAATACTGAAAGGTTCAGCAATTCAAAAGCTGATTGGGGGGATACACAAACACACAGACAGCATGGAGATGGCATAAGCTTAGTATATATTTTTTTCAAAATGTGAAAAGTAGGCTTACAAACTACGTAAACAGATTAGAGATTAAAACACATAAAACTGTAATATTACCTGTTATTTTGTATGAGTGTGATAATTGGTATCTCACATTAAGGGACGAGTACAGGTTGATGATATTTTAAGAAAAGGGTGCTGACGAGAAACTTGGGTTCCAAACTGACAAGACGAAGGGGAAGAAAAAATTACAAAACGAAACACTTCAGCACAAACACAGATCTCAATAAGTAAAAGTACACGTAATTAAGACGAACGAGGGAGTGGAGATATAACTCCACTATTCCTGACCTCCGCACTAGATGGAGGTGAGTGGTCACGTCCTGACCGGTTTACTTCCGGGGAAAGATCTCTGGTATCCAGTGGATAGGAGACTGCGTGGGCCTCCAGAGGCGTTCTAGGCGCTGTGGAGAAGAGATAAACTCTTTCCCTGCTGAGAATCGAGCCCCGGCCGTCCAGCTCGTAGCCCGTCGCTGTAAAGGCTGACAAATCCCGGTATGAAAGAAGGCCGGAACAGGCTTGACTGCCTATACTAGTAATTATGAAACGAAGAGATGTGGTTTCGAAAATAAGAAACTAATGATTAATACACTATAAAATGCATATAGGGCTAAAGACAACAGAATACTACTTTTCTACACTCGCCATGCTCTTCTATCCTGTAGATGGAGGCAGCAGACGCCTCCGAAACTTCAATAACAATGTATCAAGATACATTGAGTTATATCCTGTAAGACAATAATCTTTGTCATGGACTTCAATTTCCATTGGTAGGTTCGAACCCCATTCCACGCAACGCGAACTTCTGAGAAGCATATTTGTTTGAAGTGCTCTCACGCCAGCTTATGTACGTGTATGTAGGTTACTAGCAATTAGCACACGACTTACTGGCCAAACTGACACGCTTACAGTCACAAAGGAAACTCCAGCACAAGAAATGCAACAAGGCATAAGCTAGGCATACCAACAATATTATCTCGTTATTAAAATAGTATCAGAGAGGAAGAATCTAATTCACAATATATCTTTTTGTAACACGCTTTTTGCATTAACTAGTGTTAAGACCCAATGAGAATTCACCTAGAAGTCTCACCACTTCCGTAACCTTTTGTACTATTATGTCCCCTGATCTCTTACAAATTACCACCATCTCCCACGAACACCACGCGCGAATAATTAATCACAAACCGTCTTTTTGGTTATATTATATTACACATCAAATATCCACATCAAAACATTACAAACATACACGTAATACATATGATAAATTTAAACAAAATACTGCTCGCTAGTTCGTGACCTAATTGTTTATGTAACGTGCTAAAGTTCGACAATTCTTTGCTATTGTATCCCGAAATTGCGAAATTTCTAAGCTTTCATATAACCGTTACATCAAATATTATATAGAAAATGACAAATATAATAATAATAATAATAATAATAATCTAGTCTCTCTTGGTTACAAAGCATCTTCACAACAGGGACTTATATCTTGAAGATGGAGGCAGTAATTTCCCCGAAAATCTGTTAAGTGCCTACGACACTACATAGTGTCATAACTCAGACGGCCGTTTTACAAGATTTCACGTAACTGTGTCTGTTACAGCTCGGACAAAGCTGAAGAAGTTGTTTATTCCGCTGTTGATCATCCTGAAGTTGTTCAAACTCAAGTTGCTGTTGTTTCTACCGCTGATCCTTGGACTGGCGTCCTTCAAGAAACTGCTTGGCTTCCTAGCTTTCGTTATTCCTGGGCTTATTGGTTTCTTTAAGCTGTGTAAACCGGATCTGCATCATAATTACGGGAGTTACGGTCACAGCACTTTCTACCACCAACCCCCGCACAACAAGCACCAATACACAGCAGCAGGAGTCGCTACCGGACACCATTACTTCAGGTAAGCTGAAGAAAAAGTTCCGAAATCCTGAATCAGCGAAGTAAAGCTATCCCTGTAACAGGCCGTGTAGGCCCATAGGTTTGTGAGACGTCGAGGCTCCCACATGTTCTAGACAGTCGTCTGGAGTTTGTCAGCCTTACGCTGGTACTCATTTCTGTTAGAGCCTGAGTCGACCCCAGGGCCGTAATGCGGCTGGAAGGATTAGGTCAACTGAAAAAATCCAATGACCTCATCGGCAATTGAATGAATTGGGAACGTAACTTAATTTGTTTACTTTTATCATACACTATCAGTAACTTTGACTATATAGCACTGAATGGTGTAAAGCTTAAGGAGATAAAACTAGTTATCACTGAGTTTAATTAGTCATGCGGTACTCCATGAAAACTTTTAGGGGAGTGGAGGAACAGCTCCGCCATTTTTGACGTCGGAACTAGACTAATTAAACTCAGTAATAACTCTAGAGGTCACTGGATTTCTTCAATTGACCTAATCCTTCCAGCCGCACTATGGCCCTAGGGTCGACTCAACCTCTTAACAGAAATGAGTACCAGGAACCTTCTTGGGGGTAAAGAGCGGCCGGCGCGTAAGGCTGACAACCTCAACGTCATATGTGTGCCGATTGTCTAGAGAAAATGTGGGATCCTCGACGCCTCACAACCCTATGGGCCTCCACGGCCTGGTACAGGGATACCTTTACTTAATTCTTACTTAATAACTCTAGCCTTATTTCTCAGAGCCGGTGTGGACCTTATACGGAAGAGAGAAAAATATCTTGCCGGGAATTGAACCCTGAGTCCTCGGTCGTCGAGTCCATAGTTTAATCGATATACCGACTGAGCTACCCCGGTTCTCCGGTAGAAAGATAAATCAATAATTAGAAGCGATGTGGAAGGATTCGGTGGTCATATAATTTGAGGCACTCCCACAGTATTTCCCTGGAGAGACTGATGAGAACCACGAGAAATTTCATTTAAGGTAGTCGTCTTGGCAGAGATTCCAACCAGACACCTCCAGAATACAACTCTGAGCTTATTTACCGACGGTGTTAATAATGTAAACTACACACTCAGCCTCTAACAGAAATGAAGGCAGCCGGCGCGTAAGGCTGACAACCTCACCGCCATCTGTGAGACGACTGTCTAGAAAATGTGGGAGCCTCGACGTCTCACAACCCTATGGGCCTCCATGGCCTGTTACACGGATAGTTTTATTCTTTACTTATATTTCTATCTAGAACTAAAATTACATTTATGTGCTTTTGTACAGTATACATTTAACTACAAATTATTTATTATTGAATTTACTATGTGACGCCATGTAGTCTGAGAGGGCACTGATCTTCCGGAGGGATGTACTCTCTTCATCTTCAGGACCGAAGCGTAAACATAGCAAACAATCAGTAAGTAGCAAGATGAACAAAATGCTTCTTGTTCTTTGTTTGTTTATCCTATTTCAACCCTGAAGATGGAGGCAGAATGTTCCTCCGAAACATCAGTTAACGTCTACTGGACTACAAGGTGTTGTATCCCACAATCTTCATAGTAACCGTTGTCATAACCTCAAACCAAATACATTCTTCTCACTTTTTGATTTGTAATTACTTAATTTTTTTCTGAATATACAGTGCACCAGGGGGCCCGGGCTCGTACTACGGCAATATCTATGCGAGGGACTCCGAGAGCCAGCCGGCAGCAGCACAGGACGAGACATATGTTTCTTCCGCCATCGCATCCCCTTCTGTAGCCTTCAGAGACCAAGACAGTGAACCCACGTACAACGCGCAACAACTCGCATACAGGGGTTACCAACATTTCCAAAAAGGATGAAGTTTAGAGGCGCTATTATTGCGACTCACTTCGATGGATATATATATATATTTTTAATTTATTAGAGACGAAAATTTGGCCAGAACACGAGACTGATATGGAGTTAAGATCCATAAAAAATAACCGAAAAGGGAATTTGTAAACTAACACATTTATTTTTTAACTTTATATTCAAATTCAAATTAAATTAACATGTTACATTTTTTGTTACCTCTAATCCTATAAGCTATATTTATTTTCTTCGAGTTTACAAATTATTGGACTTATATAAATATAAATTTGGAATGCGTGTATTCCAAATGTCGAATTCCGACAGTTACTGAACTGGATCGTGCCTTTTACATATCAAACTGGACTGTGTTATCTAAACGTCTGCATCGCCCCGACATTTGCAAACGTAGACTCTCTTTACAATTATTCATAAGAAAACCCATTTGAATGAACACACAAGAAACATAGGCCCCAGGCAATTTCTTTTCATTTAAAAATTGTAGAAACAGATGGACAGTCAAGGAGGATGAGATTGGCAGGGTATGTAGCACGAACGTGGGAGAAGAGGAATGCATATAGGATACTGGTGGGAAAGCCAGTAGGAAATATACCACTGGGAAGACCAAGGCGTAGGTGGGTAGACAATATTAAAATGGATTTTAGAGAGATAGGATTGGATTGATCTGGCTCAGGATAGGGACCAGTGGAAGGCTCTTGTGAACGCGGTAATGAAGCTTCGGGTTCCATAAAATGCTGGGAAATTTTTTAGTAGCTGCAGAATTGGCGGTTCCTCAAGAAGGGCTCAGCTTCATGAGTAAGTGAGTAAGTAAAAACAGATGGACCGAGACTCGGGTCAGGCCACATGGAGCAACTGGGTGAACTGATAGGAGAAAATCTGATCTGAATCTTGGTTACATTGACACCTCCACTAGATGACTTTTCCGTGGTTTTTGTAGATCACTCCTCAAGCGAATGATGGGATGAAAGCTTTAAATAGGCCAGGCCTCTCATTTTTTTATTCTAATTCAGTTGACATTCATGTTCCGCTCAACATTTCATTTGACGCTGCAAACACAAGTAATTGAAACGCCGCCATTAAATAACACTACAGTCTACACATGGTAAGCAGAGGCGAATTAGGTCAGTCAGTATAGTGAATAGGTTACGGCCTGGGAAACTGGGGAATCAAACTGGATTGCAGGCAGAGGCAAGAGACTGTTCTCTCTCTACAGCGTCCAGACTGGATTTTGGGGCACAGTCAGCCTGCTATCCAGTCGGTAGAGGGGATAAAGCGGTAGTAGTGTAACCAACCACTCTATATAATACGGAAGTAAAGAATGTGTTGGGCTGTAACTCCACTTATCCATACGTCTTCATTTCGTTGTACTTGATTAAGCCAAAAAAATACGTCTTTTCCCTTCTATACATGATCATTTCTCTATTTGTAAGTTCTCTCCGCGTCAGATGCAATGAGTTCGTGGGAACACCGACAAAGGCGCCACTTGATGGCTTGCTGGTTATTCTAGGTGCAGCATTTGCTCGTTCGCCTTTCAAATGTCTTCTTTTTAATAAAGGCTGCTCACGTGATGCTTATACATTGCAGGGCATTTCAGCTGTCCGTAATACTGCATTTACCTCATTCTAATTTAGAGCTCCTTTTAGGGTAAATGGTATATTTACCTCAAACAGGATATCCTTTCTATATTTGTACAGTGAAATTAACTTTCTGTAATACTGACCTACAATTCTGCTTATTTGCAAGTAGTTTCTTTTATGAATGTTTATACACAACTTTGGTCTCTTAGATTGTCAAAGTCCACCCATGAACAATTATAGATATTCATTTTAATTAAAATCATGATCAACCAGCCTTCTGATTTATATATAACCATAAGCCTATGAATTTATTATGGTTATACTAATGTATGGATTCTGTCGTTATTCAAACAGTTTGTTTCCTTAACGTGACTGTATATTGTTAAGGTTTTAAGTATTTTGTTGTTGTAATTTATTTGTTTAATAAAGGAAAACAAATACATATCTGCTATTATTAATACAACTATTATTATTATTATTATTATTATTATTATTATTATTATTATTATTAATATTATTAGATATAATATCATCATGATACTCGTTAATTGTTATAAGTGGTATGGTTTTCGTTACACCTAGACAGTTCCCTGAAAGTGAAGAGGAATCATTTCTGTAAACTGCACATAAGGTACCTCTTCTCAACATTGGAGGCATTATGTTCTTGGCAAAGTAGGTTCCTACCTAAATACACCGTGTCATAACCCACAGGATCACAACATTAACTTTCGCTATAGAGGGAACCTCACATCTGGTATAATAGTACTACCATTACCATTACCGCCTTTCTACTTATTCCGTACCAAGGAAAGACAATTAAGAAGGCAGAGACATACGTACAACGATCCCAGATAGCTCAGTCAGTACAGTGACTAGGCTACTGGCTGGGACCAAGGAACCGCGTTGATGCCAGCTCTAGTGCCCACTTAGTTTCTTATTCACTGGGCACTACGGACTTTTCCCCCCTGGGGTTAAAACGGCCGAAATATGAACCTGACCACGAACCTCCATCTGATTTAGAAGTTACGACAGTATGGAGCTATATCTCCACTCTCCCACATGTCATGAACTGCTGCACAAGGACAACTTTTATCTCCTTTAGGAATTAAGGGAAATACGTACAATTACCAGTGCGACAAGCAGGTTGGTGTAGTGGTAACATTACAGACTTATATCAGGGAGAAGCCAGGGTAGAATTTCAGTCTTCAATCTTAGTCTTCTTGTGTGGTGCACTGCCTCCCTGTACACACCAAGAGCTTTACTGAAGACTTTGTTTCCGTATACCACAACACAATCTTCGCCCGCCGCTCAGGAGGCAACATTTTCTTTTTAGCGACTGCAACGCCGCATAACAGACAACAGTAACTTCACATCAAATAATTGAACTCTTTGGGTTTCTGTTCCTAATGCCACAAACTGCATCATTTTATCTGTCAAGAGTCCTACACTGGTGGTTTGAAATGAGGAAGGTTTGACAGGGACATTATGTACTATACCGATTTAAATACAATAACATGATCATAGGCTATCTTGTGGGCAAATCACAAACTAAAACGAGGACTGGCGTTTAAGTAGTTGGTCTCTCTGCCAATAGATGGCGGCAGTAACATTTTCCCCAGCCATGACGTCAAGTTGACTGTCCTAGATTTGTTCTGGGTTGAACGCACGATGTTGAACAGGAGTACATTCAGGTTGCTGGCATGTTGATTGTACCTGTATATCCGAGCTCGGTCAACTTGCGTAAGCCTTCTTTGCGGTCAAGAATGAAGGCCAAGGTGGATGCACGGAACGCGAAGAATTCCACAGTGATGTAGGCTAGGATCAAAATTACCACTCCCAATTCTGGGGCCGGGAGAAAAATGTTCTAATTCTACGTCACAGCGTATTCCGTAAAAGATGACTCGAAAAGAGTAAGAAAGGAAAGAAAGGTGTAGAGAGAGATGTGTGAAAATAAAGAATATGGAAAAGCAGGGAGAAGAATAAAAAGGAGGGGAAATGTGTGCCGGGATAGCTCAGTCAATATAGTGTCTAGGTTACGGGCTGATTAAAGAACAATAGTACTTTTTTTAACTCCGTAGCATCTAGCCCATCTAGCCCATCAAGCTTCCTATTCAGTGAGTACCGGGGATAAAGCAGACGGAGTGTGAAGGTGACCACGCATCTCAATTTAGTGGTGAGGGTATGCATGAAGTTCACCTAAGAACTCCCAAACGTTTTTAAAGTGTGGTACTCACATAAGTGAAGAGATGAATTTACCCTTTTCGGAGGAGAATTAAAAGAATAATAAGAAGACATGGACGATGAAAAGGAAAGGAAAGAAGGGGAGAAGAATAAAACAAAATAATTTACTGCTTTCTATGTCTCCTTCATACCGTACAGATCATAAAATGATGCCTCCACAAAAGAAAAAGAAACTTCCTGCAGCTTTTAAGGAGAGGAGTAACTTTCGTAATGTGATGCTATGCACTTTGGCAGAAGTAGGCTGACATTTCGAAGGAACATATTGCCTCCATCTTCAGGGTCGAAGTGACTAGCAAGAAGCTCGGAGCAAGCAACCAGCTTCTTGAACTATAACAGGACTACATGGCGTCACACTCTACATGACAGAAATCTTTAACGATACAACAGTGAGAACCTCAAAGGTGGAGTTGTCCCTCTGCTTAATTAACTAGGCAACACGCCATAAAGACTTAGGTGGGAGTGGAGGCATAGCTCCAGAAGTCTTAACCTCGGCACTAGTGATCAGCTTCACGCCTCACCGCCTTATCCCCGGGGAAAGAGACCGGGTACCCATTGGGCAGTAGGTTGCGTGGGCCCTAGAGCAAGCCTGGATGCTGTGGGGGGGGGGGAATCTCTTGCCCCTGCCAGGCATCGAACTCCGACCGTCCAGCCTGTGGCTAGGGCGAACTTCAAAGTCCTCCTCTCCTCATCTTGCACTCACTTTGGAGCACAGGGCTGATTTCTCAGTTTCATGATCATTTTACAGACGGTAGGACTCCTTGGACGGGTGATCAGTTCGTCGCGAGGCCTCCACCTGAACACAGGACAACATACACACAGAATAAACGCGCAAACACATCAAGCATCCATGCCTTGTATGGGATGACCCCGGCTTCAGAGTGAAGACAGTGCATGCCTTAGACCGCTCGGCTACCATGACCGGCAAATTCAACACAATTAGGGTTAAATATTTTGTCATTTAAAAGCGTTGACAATAAAATGCCAGGCCTGCTCTAAGGAAGTGGTCTATAAACCAGTTTCATGAGGATGGCCGAAGGCACTGAATGGAGAAGAACTTGGGGCATCAATGAAGTGGGTAAAAGGAGTATTTAAGAATGAGAACAAAACGGAAATGGTAGCACTCAACAGAACAGCTGGTTGCTGTCCATTAGTTAATGAACAGCCAGACACGCTTGACCATTCCTCAGAATCAGGACAGGTGTACACAAGTTTCGGCGAGCGAATTGGCCTGCATAAAAGATAAAAACAAAAGAGTCAAAGTTGCTCACTCCATGGGGGAGCTGAAGCATAGCTCCACAGATATTAAATATGATATTAGCTGCAAGTGAGTGATCAGCTTCAACTTCCGGCCGCTCTACCTCCAGTGAAAGAACTCCAGTACCCAATGGACAGGAGATTGGGGGGAGGGAGTAGGAGAGGCATTTATGGCACTGTGAATAAAAGTATTGTGGCGTATAGGCCCGTTGCTAAGCGATGACTCCGTAAACAACGACCGTTTCTGGGCAACGGCTCGGTAAATTCTTCCCCGCCGCAACGAATGCGCGCGTAACAAGCGAACTATACCGACCGAGCGAGCGCCGCTTGTCGGCGAAGTTACTGCCAATTTTAGGGGACAGAGGGTGTCGCGTGGTCAGCGCAACGAATCCCCACGGTCGTTAATTTCGGTTTTCTAGACCGGGGCCGCTG